TTTTAAAACACAAGTGGATTACTATTATTGATATTTAGATTTTCATTTTTACTACATAAACAATATTATATATACATACACATACACACATATACATTTCAAATTTGTTCAAATTTATTTATAAAATACAATCTTAGCAATAAAACTATTGTGTCAAAGATTATGTGCATTACAATTTTGATACATATTTCAAACTGTTCTACAAAAAGGGTATACTGGAACTTCCCTGGTAGCGCAGTGGTTAAGAATCCACCTGCCAATGCAGGGGACATGGGTTCGATCCCTGGTCCGGAAAGATCCCACATGCCGTGGAGCAACTAAGCCCATGGCCACAACTACTGAGCCTGCGCTCTAGAGCCTGCAAGCCACAACTACTCAAGCCCACACGTCACAACTACTGAAGCCCACATGCCTAGAGCCCGTGCTCCACAACAAGAGAAGCCACCACAATGAGAAGCCCGCGCACTGCAACAAAGCGTAGCCCCTGCTTGGCACAACTGGAGAAAGCCCGTGCACAGCAACCCAACGCAGCCATAAATAAATAAATAAATTTTTAAAAACTTTAATAAAAAAAGGGTGTACCAATTTACAGCCCTACTAACAGTATGAATACTCAAAATTTAGCTTTTACTAAACCTACAGTGTACATAGTAGGCAGACAGTGTAAATTCATTAAGTGTTGAATGAGTGAACTACTGGCACTCGCAATTATCTATATTTTAAGAAGTATGCTGAGGGGCTTTATGATATTATGAACAAAAGCATCTGGAAAAGGTCACTGAGTAAGAATCCAGAGAACGGGGCAATCCCATGACCACAGTTACTGGGGCCAACGGTGTGTCTCTGCATACTCTCTTCCACGCCTCCCCCAGTGCAGAGCAACATCCACTGAGCAAGTGAACCTTGAGGCCTGACTAACCTCTAGGTCTTCTAGTTTCCCTATATTGGCTTAAACCATTTGGCTATGTTACTTTTTTTAACAAAAAAGTCTTAAGCGATATACCTGATGCCTTGGGTGAGTTGGTTAAGTTCTCTAAACCTCAATTTTTTCATTGGTAAAATGAGACACATTTAGGGTTTAAAGGCCTAGGTATTAATCTTGGCTCTGACCGTTTCCTAGTTGTATCATTTTGAGCAAGACATTTTACCTCTCTAAGATTTAATTTATTCATGTGTAAAATTGAGATACATGTGAAGAATACGTGAGTTGACATGTGTATGTCAACACAACAGGCACTCAAATGAGAATTATTATCATTATTACTATTACTCATTAAAAAGTATAATTTTTAAAACGTGCAAAGTTTTCAAGTTCCAAATTGGTGTCTAATGCTAAAAGAAATTTTTAAAAACTTCTCACCAAATTTAACAATTTTGTTAACAATAACAGCGAACACGTTCTGAGCATTTATTATTTGCCAAACACAGTTTTAATCAAGTATTAAGCAATGTGATAAGCGTCGATGGGATATAGACCTGACTATCCATGAGGTAGGAGGTATTGTTAACCCCATTTTGCAGATGAAGAAACAGAAGCAGGTAGTAAAGTGACTTTCTCAGAGCTGGGATACAAACTCAAGCAGTATGACCACAGAGCCTGTTTTTCTCTTGATCACTTTTACGGTAACTTGTTTTTGTACAGGATAGAGCTATATATATTCTAAATATACATATTTATATATATATAAAATTAGTTTTCCAGCTTCAAATTACATGTTTATTCTTGAGCAAACCTTTCCCCATTCTCACTCCCTCGAGACTAAAGAGAAGTCAAAGTATTTGGAAATGGATCTTCATATACACCTCTGTGTATAAAACAAATACGTTGAGAGTACAAAGGTTATATAGTAATAGGAAAAGTTGCTCCATTATGTTTTACGAGATAAAACAAAAAAAAAGATTAATTGTCTTTTCAACCTCTACTAACTTGTTAGAAGTTAAAGATCTATTAAAAATCAGGAAAACACACCCAAGGTTAATGGGATACTCCAGACCCCCATACTCTCTACTCTGAGCACATTTGTCACCAAGATCTGATTAAAAGCTAAATCAGATCATATTATTCCCATTCCAGCTCTGCTTAGAATCCTACAGAGTAGATTCCTTACCATGATTCTAAAAACTCTGGCTTCTGCCTACCTCTTCAATTATTTCATACTCCCCTCCCCTCTGACTTATTTTGCTGACAACACACCTGCCTTCTTTCTAATCCTTGAACATGCCAACGCTGCTTTCTGCTTTAGGACTTTTGTTCTCGCTGTTCCCTCTGCCTGGAAGGCTCTGATCCCAGATCTTCCCATGGCTGGCTTCTTTTTGTTATTCAGACCTCAGTTCAAATACCTCCTTCTCTGACTCTCCCTGATCACTTCATAGAAAGAACCTACCTCTACCCCAGTCTTTCTCTATCCCTTTTCCTACTTTATCACCTTCACAGTACTAGTTACTATCTAAAATTATTTATTTATTGGTTATATGTTTATTATCAGTCTCCCTCCCAAATGGAATATAAATACCTTGAAGGCAGGAGATTCAACTCTATTTACTGTATCTAGAGCAGTGCCTGGCATATAGTAGTTCCTAAACAAATATTTGTTTAGTGATTAAGTGAAAAGCACAGAAGAATAATGAGCAAACTACCCTGACCATAGCAGAGACAGGGGACTAAATATTAGAAAGTCAGAAAGAAAACAGAAGAAAATAACTATTCTGGCTCTACTTATTCGGTTTGGTTGTAATACGAATACAAGATAGATAAGGTAGTTGGAAGTTTAAATGAATGGAAATGCATAAATTAGTTACTGTAGCCCTAATGGCCATATTAATGTATTTTGTTAAGAACCATTCTCTGAAGGACATTTCCTTATGGTCAGTTAATCTTTTCCCATACAAAGTTCTTTTTACTTATTTATAACAAAATATAATTAGGAAAGGAAAGATAACTGATGAATAATCTACTAAATAATTTTTTTTCTTTTTCTTGAGGTACGCGGGCCTCTCACTGTTGTGGCCTCTCCTGTTGTGGAGCACAGGCTCCGGATGTGCAGGCTCAGCGGCCATGGCTCACAGGCCTAGCCGCTCCGCGGCATGTGGGATCTTCCTGGACCGGGGCACGAACCCGTGTCCCCTGCATCGGCAGGCGGACTCTCAACAACTGTGCCACCAGGGAAGCCCCTAAATAATATTTTTAATTTAAATTTCAAAGTAATTTAATTCCAGGTTAAACCAGAAAATTCTTATCATCTAATTCACTTGGCAGAAAATTGGCCACAGAAAAATTTTCATGGCATCCTCTTTCAGGAGAGAGATTTCTTTCATTCAGATATTTAAAAATGCATTCTCAAACTTCAAATTCTTAGGCCTCTGACAACCTCTTCAGTAAATAAAATTATTTGAGAGGATGCTTATACTTCGAGCACTGTAAAATTAAAACTGAATAGTTCATACCTGTAATTAACCAAGTGTACTTCCTATTACTGCTTCCCTGTACTATCTCTGTGATATCAGGCATGTTGTTGACTTTGTTAGTATATGTATTTATCTTTTAGGTCATCTAAAGGTTGTCTATTTAAGTTAAAGTTCAAACTGAGATAGGCTAATGGGGTAGGAAAGTGCTATCTCTAAAACCTCAGGCAATTCAGCTAACTTCTATAAGGAAACTGAATTTTTCTTACTATTTCTTCCAATATGTGTAGTAAAAAGAAGCACATCACTTGACAGCCATCAGATTTGATTATTTGTATTTTCAGTAATCAATAATACCTTAAACTGTAAAAAAAAAAAGCAGGGATTTCAAAGCATTGAAATTTTTATTCAAGCCCAATCACATAAAACTTACCCTGTTTTTAGATAACAGAAGGAATAAGTATTTTAGTAAAATGTTATTAAGCTACTTTACTGATTTTTACCTAATGACCCAAGAATCAAAGTAGACTTTGACTCAGTCATTTGAAGATGCCTAAAAAAACAATAAAAAATATAAGAGGCATAACTTATGCTTTGTGCAGGTTGTAAAGAAGTGTAAGTTATGCTCTGTGGAACTACAGAATAAAGCAATACTATTATTTTAATGAAAATTATAAACATTGTAAAAGTTCCATTCAAAATAGATGGAAGAGTGAAAAATCTCATTTCCCCCTCTATCATCTTATTTTCTTTTGAATTGTCATTCGATAATCAACACTACTGTCTAACTCAATGCCAGACGCATAGGAGGAAGTCAATATAGGCTTTGGGAATGACTTCATTTCTTGCCTCCATACACTCATAATCCATTCAACACCAGTCAACTTCCTGATGTTGATATAAACCAATAATGTTAAAAGAAACCTGACAAAGTGATCCAGGTGTACATATTTTCGCACATAAGTATCATTTAATATATTAACATTTCTTCCCTGAAAAAGCTTTAAGGGATAAAAGTTCATTTAATCAAGACACAGTTTCACACCTAACAACTAGACCTGACTGCACAATACATACTGTGAGATCATATTAAAGTTAATCCACAACTTATCAATTATGGTAAATATCCTAACAAGTTGGACTGTACCATGGAGAGGTAACTATCTAGATCAGCTTTTAAAAAAAGGTATGAAATATACACATCAGGATTTCAAACTGACGTACCTTTGCTAAACTATGAAGCGTTTCTTATTCTAGAATTACAATATCTCCATTTGGTAATCTGACATGAACAAGCTGATAAATGCAATCAGAACAACAGTATATTCTGGCAAAGCTGAAAATTTCCTGAAAGCCTAGAAAAATATGTCTACAACAGATGGATCATTTAGGAAATAAATACAACAATCTGTCAAATGGAGCACTATTCTAATTCCCTAAACTAAAATCGGTAGGAGCTCCACTTTCCAAGAGTCTGTGACATTAGTAAGGCCAAAGAGGAAAAACCTATAGCTGCACATAAACATATCTGATATGACCTAGAGTGCCACACGGTTAGGTTTCCTGTTAAATATACTAAATTTAGGTAAAGTCCTTACCAGTTAACTTCTTCACAGGTTGGAGCCGAACACTGATAGACTGATGTGTGAGTAAGGGGGAGGATGGAAGAGAGCGAGACATGCCCTCCATAATCCGAATGTGCTGCATACCTTCACTCACTGGAAGTGGTGGGACGGCGTAGTCTGGCTCAAAAGCACAGTCGCTTTCTGTGGAGATGCCACCTGTTACATAGAAGAGAATGGGAGAAAAGAGCTGGTGAGAAAATACTCTTCTACTAAAATTCTTCTCTATTAAAATTTATCTTTTTGGATGACTCAGCACAGTGTACACTGATATTGATTTTTCACTGTGAAAAGAAAATAAGGAATTCCCAACACACAGATTCATTTCTACGTAACTGGGTACTTAACTTCAGGTCCAGCACTAGGAAACTGAACATGAATAAGACAGGATTCCTCCTCCTAAGGGGCTCACTGTCTCATGAACAACGTAGTCATATAAAAAGTAATTACAGTACAATGCAACAAGTGTTACGATTACAGCAATGGTCTTCAGTTGTCCCTGAGAAGACAAACATGGAAGAAGATATTCCCCTGCTTGACAATCCAATCTGTGCAATTCCTAGTAGGATCACTGTAACCCTATTTCTTATTCTCTGTCTCCAAGAATGTACCTGAAAATATAAATGGGTAAGACTAACATTATATGGTGATTTTTGAATCTGCTCAAACATTTAAAAAAAGAGTAAATGATATGCTGTTTACTTCCACTTACGTACTGTTGACTTCTACTTCCGGCAATGGCAGATTATATACTTCAGACCAACCTTTCCCTAAGAAAACTACAACTATATACATTTAAAAAATCTTCCTGAAGGCACTGGAGAGTTAATAGCATGATGAAGAATTACAAGAAGACTGAGACCTGGTATTTGGGGCCACTTTTTACTTTGTGGCATCTGAAAGGCTAAGAAGCCATTGACAGTTTTACAGAGCTGGGAAGACAAGTACTGGAATGGCTGGAGAACCAAGTTGCGAAGGGGGAGCTGGTGGAACTCCAACACTTTTGTTTGGAACCCCAAAGGGCTACATTCTAGGAGTGTGTATAAACCAAAACTAGGGGCTTCCCTGGTGGCGAGTGGTTAAGAATCTGCCTGTCAATGCAGGGAACACGGGTTCGAGCCCTGGTCCGGGAAGATCCCAGATGCCACGGAGCAACTAAGCCCATGTGCCACAACTACTGAGTCTGTGCTCTAGAGCCCACATGCCACAACTACGGAGCCTGCATGCCACAACTACTGAAGCCCACACACCCTAGAGCCTATGCTCCTCAACAAGAGAAGCCACCACAATGAGAAGCCTGCACACCACAACAAAGAGTAGCCCCTGCTCTCTGCAACTAGAGAAAGCCCACATGTGGCAAGAAAGTCCCAACACAGCCAAAAATAAATTAATTAATTTATTTTAAAAACAACAACAACAAAAAAACTAGACTGGCCTTTACAGGACTGAAGCTCAGCTCCAAATGTCTACCACAAAATTTAATTAAGGCAATCTTGGATTGCTAGTCCCTGCCAAAAACAAACATAAATCTTCTTAGAAGAAGATAACATCATCACAGATCTCAAAATACTTCCACAATTTTTCATATACAATATCTGGTCCTTAACTAACAATAACAAAAAGAGAACATGAAAAAAGCAAATCAGAAAGATCATGCAAAATAAAGTCTTAGAGGGAATACAGACTATGGAACAATAAGACACAGAATTTAAACTAGTATGCTTAACACCAAAAAGATTAAAATACTTAGGAATGAATTTAACCAAGGAGGTGAAAGATCTGTACATTGAGAACTATAAGACACTGATGAAGAAACTGAAGACACAAATATATGGAAAGATATCCTGTATTCATGGACTGTAAGAATTAATATTGTTAAAATGTCCATACTACCCAAAGTAATCTACAGATCCAATGTAATCCCTATCAAAATTCCAATGGCATTTTTTCACAGAAATAGAAAAAGCAACTCTAAAATTTGCATGGATCCACAACAGACTCTGAATAGCTAACGTAATCAAGTAATCTTGAGCAAGAAGAACAAAACTGGTGGCATAACACACTTCCTAATTTCAAGTTATATTACAAAACAGTAGGAAGACAATTTGGTACTAGCACAAAAACAGACACATAGATCAATGGAACAGAACAGAGAATCTAGAAATAAACCCATGCGTATACGGTCAACTAATCTTTGACAAAGGCACCAAGAATATGCAATGGGGAAAGGATAGTCTCTTCAATAACTAGCATTGGAAAAACTGAATATCCACATGCAAAAGAATGAAACTGGATCCTTATCCTACACCATACACAAAAATCAACTGAAAATGGGTTAAAACTTAAACCTAAGACCTGAAACCATAAAGCTCTTAGAAGAAAACACAGGGGGAAAAGTCCATGAAATTCATCTTGAAAATGATTTTTTTGGATTTGACATCAAAAGCACAAGCAACAAAAACAAAAGTAAAGCAAGTGAGACTATATCAAACTAAAAAGTTTCTGCACAGCAAAGGAAACCATCAACAAAATGAAAAGGTAACCTACAGAATGGGAGAAAATGTTTGCAAACCATGTATCCGATAAGGGGTTAATACTAAAAATATGTAAAGAACTCATACTCAATAGCAAAATAAAACAAACAAACAAAAAAACCTAATTAAAAAATGGGCAGGATTTCCCTGGTGGTGCAGTGGTTAAGAATCTGCCTGCCAACGCAGGGGACATGGGTTCGAGCCCTGGTCCAGGAAGATCCCACATGCCGTGAAGCAGCAAAGCCCATGCACCACAACTACTGAGCCTGCACTCTAGAGCCCGTGAGCCAGAACTACTGAAGCCTGCGTGCCTAGAGCCCGTGCTCCTCAACAAGAGAAGCCACTGCAAGGAGAATCCCATGCCCCACTACAAAGAGTAGCCCCCACTCACCGCAACTAGAGAAAGCCCACGCACAGCAACGAAGACCCAACACAGCCAAAAAAAAATTATAAATAAATAAATAAATTTTTTTAAAAAATGGGCAAAGGACCTGAATAAATATTTTCCAAAGAAGACATATGAATGGCCAACAGGCACATGAGAATGTACTCAACATCAACAATCATCAATCACAAAAATCAAAATCACAATGAGATACTACCTCACACCTGTTAGGACAGCTATTACCAAAAAGTCAAAAGATAATAAGTATTGGCAATGATGCAGAGAAAAAGGAACCCCTGTACACTGTTGGTGGGAATGTGAATTGGTACAACCATTACAAAAAACAGTATGGAGATTCCTCAAAAAATTAAAACTAGAACTACCATATGAACCAGCAAACCTACTTCTGAGTATATATCAAAAGGAAGTAAAATTACTGTTTCAAAGAGATACTTGCACTCCCATGTTCACTGCAGCATTATTCAAAGTAGCCACAATATAGAAACAACTGCAGTGTCTGTCAATGGATGGATGGATGAAGAAAATGTGATTTTACAAACACACACGCACACACACTCTCTCCCTCTCTCTCTCTCTCCCTCCCTCCCTCCCTCTCTCTCTCTGAGGAATATCATTCAGCCTTAAAAAAGAAGGAACTCCTTCCACTTGCAACAACAGGGATGAACCTGGAGGACATTATGCTAAGTGAAATAAGCCACCAGACACAGAAAGAAATAATCTCTATGTAATCTCACTTATATGTGGAATCTAAAAAATAAGGTCAAAATCATAGTAGTAGAGAGGAGAATGGTGGTGGCAAAAGGAGATGTTGGTCAAAGGGTAAAAACTTTCAGTTATTAGATGAATAAGTTCTGGAGACCTAATATACATCATGGCTCCTAGACACAGTCAATTACTGAGTCAAAAGTGCTGAGAGTTTCTATTGAGAAATACTGACCAAATGCTGTATTAAAATTGTGTGTCATGTTATGTAAAAAGAAAAAAATTAACATGCTTAATATATATATATTTTTTTGCGGTACGTGGGCCTCTCACTGCTGTGGCCTCTCCCGTCGTGGAGCACAGGCTCTGGACGCACAGGCTCAGCGGCCATGGCCCACGGACCCAGCTGCTCCGCGGCACGTAGGATCCTCCCGGACCGCGGCACGAACCCGTGTCCCCTGCATCGGCAGGCAGACTCTCAACCACTGCGCCACCAGGGAAGCCCAACATGCTTAATATTTAAAGAAAGTAAAAGTTTAGAATTTCAGCAATGAATTATGAAAATAAAAACTCAATAGGTGGATTGAAAAAACAGATTAGACACAGATGAAGAGAGAATTAGCAAACTGGAAGATAAAACATTTGTGCATCAAAGGACACTATCAAGAGAGTGAAAAGACAACCCTCAGAATGGTAGAAAATATTTGCAAATCATTTATCTGATAAGAGTCTAGAATTGAGGGGACTTCCCTGGCAGCCCAGTGGTTAAGACTCCGTGCTTCCACTGAAGGGGGCACAGGTTCAATCCCTGGTTGGGGAACTAAGATCCCACATGCCAGAGTGGCACAGCCAAAACAAGTTTTTAAAATAAAAAACTTAAAAAAAAAAAGAGTCTAGAATCAAGAACATAAAAAGAACTCCTAGTACTCAACCACAAAAAGAGACACAATGCAATTTTAAAAGTAGGCAAAAAACTTGAGTAGACATTTCTCCAAAGAGAAATGTACAATACAAATGGACAATAAGCTCATAAAAAGATACTCATATCATCATTCATTAAAGAAATGCACATCAGAGCCACAATGAAATACCATTTCACACCCAGTAGAATGGCTATTAAAACAACAACAAAGAAGTGTTGGTAAGGATGTGGAGAAATTAGAACCTTCATACATTGCTGGTGGGAATATAAGATGGTACAGCTGCTGTGTAAAACAGTTTGGCAGTTCCTCAAAAAGTTAGACACAGAATTACCATACAACCCAGCTATCCCTCTTCTATGTATATACCCAAAGGCAATGAAAACAGGTTTTCAAGCAAAAACCTGAACATGAATGTTCACAGAAGCATTATTCATAATAGCCAAAAAGCAGAAACAACTCAAATGTCATTAATTGATGAATCAATAAACAAAATGTGGTATATCTATAAAATGAAATATTATTTAGCAATAAAAATAATGAAGGCTTGATTCATGCTACAACACTGATAAACTTTGAAAACATTCTACTAAGTGT